CTTCACAGTCTCAACATTACGATGAAGAATTGAGGCCCACATTCCTTCAAATTTAGGACGCAAGTTCATAAAAATGAATAATTTGAGTGCTCGCACGCTCGCGAATCACCTCTCATAATCCTCACTAGACAACAAAGAGCTCGTCAAGTGATCATGTTCAGTCTAGAGTGTAAAAACCTCTTGATAGTACGTACTCACATCAGAGTCTTTCTGTGCCAGACGACCAATATCACTCTCGATATCAAATTTGCAGGAGGCGTTGGGTTTATAATAGAGATTGGCGAGATGCTGTCACATCACTAATGCCCTATGAAAACCCCACAAACTCAAGGAAATACCCTGATCCATCGAGCCCAACGACAAAGTCATAACCACAACATTTGATGCCGCCCAATCTTTCTTGGCTTTGGGCGTAGCCTCCATAGCTGGTTCTCGAGCCGAACCATCGCGAAAAGACAATGACCAATGACCCTGAACATGAAGCTTGAACTAAAAACCCAGAGAGCATAGTTCTTACTTGTGAAGTGGATGAAGATGGTGTCGCCCCTAGAGTTCTCCATAGTTTATCGAGAAAAGGAAAAGACGAAACGAGGAACCAACAAGAAGACAGAATCAAGAACCACACACCAAGAACGCGAATGCGAGGAGTACGAGCAGAAATTCCAGAGTGCAGAAGCAAGCACGGACAGAAACTCAGAATATGAATTTGCGAGGTTCTGAATCCATGTCAAAGATTGGATTAATCACACAAAAATACTAACACGAGACACAAGATTTACGCGATTTCCTCAACGATGAACATTGAGACTAGTCCACGACACAAGGCAGAGTTCATGGTTATTATTCACGTAATTGTTACATGTTGATGTGACTTGAATCGGACTATCTGACGCTAGGACTGGATGTCATGGGGGTCTGATGCAACACCCCCGGTCCACTATGTATGGGCTCAATGTTGTTTGGGCTTGTGTTATGGACCTGGTTGTAACTGCTTTTCCTTTACCAAATTGGATTAGGGTTAGACCATGGAGAAGTACTATAAATACTTCTCATACTCCTCTGTAATCTGTATCTCCTTGAAGTATAGTGAAACTGGCTCTCTCCTTCCCGTGGACTAGCTAACACACATTGTGTTAGTAAACCACATAAATTGTGTGTCATGTGTGTTTCGTTTTCTTGCTTCGTCGAATCCCCCTCTTTGGCGATCCGTAGAGAAATACATGACAAGTGGTATAATAGCGCCAGTTGGAAATCAGGCTAGGGTTTCGATATTCAAGAATGACGATGATAAATATAAAGATCGAGAAGTTCACGGGGAAGAACAGTTTCGATATATGGCATATTAAGATGCATACTTTATTGAAACAACAAAGACTATGGGCTCCGCTGTCTACAAAACAGAAGAAGGCAACAATCAATGATGATGATTGAAATACCCTGGAGGAGAAGGCCCACTCTAGCATCATGCTAGCGTTGTCTGAAGACATCATCATTGAAGTCGCTGTTGAGAAGACTTTCACGAGCTTGTGGTTGAAGCTGGAAAGTATGTATATGACGAAGTTCTTAACCAACAAGATGCATCTCAAGCAGCGGTTTTTCCAGCTTGAGGATGCAAGAAGGTACTCTTTTGAGGGAACATCTAGAACAAATTAATTCTATTTTGTTAGATTTATGCAATATAGATGTTAAGGTTGATGACGAAGATGATGCCTTAATCTTGCTTGTTTCTTTGCCGAGTTCATATGATACTTTTGTGAATTCTTTTATCGTTGGTAAAGATAGCTTGTCGTTGGAGGATGTTAGATCTGCTCTTCATACGTGAGAGGTCATACATAAGGCATTCGAATCTGGTACACGTGGTGAAGCATCGGGGTTGGCTGTTCTAGGTGGAAAGGGAAAAAAGAAATGTGGTTAACAGAACTCGAACAGAAACTCAAATTCTAAGGGCCCCGGTCCACAACCAAGCGATGCTTATCACATATGTAAGGAAGTGAGGCACTGGAAGTACAACTGTCCCAGAAAGAGAGGGAAACATAAGAACTAATGCTTAGCTGGCTTGGCAGAAGTGTATAATAGTTCAGAAGATTATCTCGCCTTGGCTGTAGATGAGAAGGCACATCGTGGCGATGTGTGGTTCCTGGATAGACGAACTAAACATTGTTGGAGAAAGCAATGTGCATGCTCTCTAATGCTAGACTGGGGAGGAGGTTCTGGGGAGAAGCAGTGAACATGGCGTGCTACCTCATCGACCGTGGACCTCACACATGTATCGAGTGCAAAACTCCTTGTGAGGTGTGGTGGTAAGCCTGTTGATTACTCTTCGTTGAAAGTTTTTGGTTGTCTTGTTTACTATCATGTGAATGAGGGTAAACTGAATCCAAGAGCAAATAAGGGTGTATTCATGGGTTTTGGAGATGGAGTTAAGGGATTTCGAGTCTCGTCACCTTCTGGGAATAGAGTTATACTATTATGATGTGATATTTGATGAGAAGTATATTTTTACACCATGTTGAAGGTTAGTGTTGATTGAGATAGCATGAACGTTGATAAACATGTGGAGCTGCAAACTCTTAAAGAGAGTGAGTTTGAGAGCGACTGCATGAGCACCTCCACAGAGTTATGTATTCTAGGACATGGTGGCGTATGCTTTTCAGGTGGCTAAAGAAGTGGATGCAGGTGAACCATAGTCCTCCATAGAAGCAGTTTGGTGTGGCGAAGCCGCTCGGTGGCTTCCTGCAACGGGAGACAAGATGGAATCCCATGACAAAATCAGACTTGGGAGTTGGTCAAAAGCCCACAGCGAATGAAGATTGTTACAAACAAGTTGATGTACAAGAAGAAGGAAGGAATGGCTTTTGAAGAGGGCATTAATTTCAAAGCTCGAGTAGTTTCAAGAGGCTTCTCGCAGAGGCAAAGAGTTGACTACAATGAGATTTTCTAACCAGTGGTCAGACACACTTCGATCAGGGTGTTACTAGTAATAGTGACACATTATGACTTGGAGCTCGAGCAGCTAGACGTGAAGAAAACTTTCCTACATGGAGAGTTGGAAGAATAAGTTTATATGAATCATATTCCAGGATCTAGAAAAAGAAGACTATGTTCGTAAGCTAAAGAAGTCCTTGTATGGACTTAAGCGATCTCCGAGGTAGTGGTACAAGAGGTTTGAAAACTACATGCTTGAGCTAGGATACAACAGAAGTCCTTATGATTGTTTTGTATATCATAGCAAGGTTAAGGATGGTTCGATGATCTATTTGGTTTTGTATATGGATGATATGCTTATACCTGCAAGGTCGAAGTGTGATATATATTCAGAAGTTAAAGGAGCTTCTTAGTGCTGAGTTTGAGTTGAAGGATTTGGGAGTTGCTCAGAAGATTTTGGGTATGGAGATTTACAGGGATAGAGAGAAAAATAAGCTTTTTCTTGTCACAAAAGAGCTACATCTAGAAGATACTATCCAGGTTTGGCATATCTTCAGCAAAGCCCTTGAATACTCCTAGTACTTCAAATATTCATCTATCCTCAGCTTATGCACCACAGTCAGAGGCTGAGAAGGAGTACATGTCGAGAGTCCTATATGCTAGTGCAGTAGGTAGTTTGATGTACGTTGTGGTATGCACTAGACCTGATCTTGCACATGTTGTTAGTGTTGTCAACAGATTCATGATATAACCTGGGAATGAACATTGACGGGATGTGAAGAGGATCTTCCGGTACCTTAAGGGTACATCTGATGTGGGGACTAGATTCGAAAGTGATACGGAGTTCATAGTGGCTGGTTATTCAGATTCTGGATATCCTGGAGATGTTGACACGAGGATATCGATGAACGGTTCACTCTTGGAAGTTCTGTAGTGAGCTAGAAGGAAACTCTACAGTTGACAGTGACATTGTCTACTAATGAAGCAGAGCATATGGCATTGACAGAAGCTGCTAAGGAAGGAATATGGTTGAAGGGGTTGGTTGGTGATCTGGGTCTACATCATATGATCATGTTATGGTGTATTACGACAGCTTGAGCGCAATATGCTTGGCCAAGGATCAAGTCCACCATGAGAAGACTAAACACACCGACGTGAGGTATTATTTATTGAGGATAGATAAGAGGATTAAGGTGAAGAAGGTTGGCACCGCCGACAATCCCGCTAACATGTTCACGAAGCCGTTCCACATGGCAAGTTCCAACACTGTTTGGAATTGCTAAATGTCTTGAGTGGGTGAATCCTACCTAAGGGGAATTGATGGAAGGAAGGAGAGAAGGATCAGAGTACATAAGAGATTTAAGAGGAAGAGGATACAAGTCAAGGTGGAGATTTGTTGATGTGACTTGAATCGGACTATCTGGCGCTAGGAATGCCGACTGGATGACTACAACAAATTCGACCTATTATGACAGGGAATTTTCGTCATATTAGTTACTCATTTTGTCATATTAGGTTTAATATGACAAAAGGTGTTGTCACAAAGGTTTGTCATTTTATTGCTGTCAGGATAGATAAAATGTGGCAAAAATTTAAAACAAGGTTGTCACATTTGCTTTCAGTATAGCCGAGGTTCTGGTAGTCTATTGTGACAAACAGAGATGTGATGACGACATATTTTGTCATTAATTGTCATAATTTTCTTATTTTGATAGAAAATTTTCGTCATATTACTACATTATATTTTGACATCACATAATTGTGACGAACAAATTTTGTCATAAATGTATGGTGTGACGATTATATTTTGTCATAATTGTATATTAGTACGAACGTATTTTGTCATAACTGCATATTGTGAACAATATGATTTATTCATCAATATATTGAATAACATATAGTTGAAAAGATTTCTTGTAGCATGAAACTCCGATCAAACAAATATTAGTTACACATCTAACTATTTTTGTCGTATAAAGCAAACTAATCTAGGAATTCTGAATTCCTCGACAACACTATCCTATTGCTGTCACTGCTACTGCTGCTTATATGTTCACACAATCTGTAGAGAAAACCTACATCAAATTGAAAGCTGAGACAACGCAAACCTTGGCATTCTGCCCAAACTCCTTCTTGAAGATACCAATAGAATCAGGGCCACAAACATCATGAGTCATCAAGATATTAACGTCTACCCACACATTTTCACCGGGACTCAAATGGGTCTTCTCAGAAGCCCTAGCCCAGATTTTCCCAGTCATTGTTATCGCAGCCTTCACCTGCATCAAAATCTCCCATTACCAAAATGAACAGAATCGAACTGGTGGCTAGAAGGAATCACAGTGAAAGTACGTGAGAATAGGACACCAACTGAGCCAGTAGTTGCCAGCTTGCGCTCGGACTGCAGTGGCGCCATGACCGAAACAATTTTATTCGAGATTTATTTCCTGCAACTGGGAACCGAGAAAGGATACGATGCTGTGGAGAAATCTGAACGATCCAATTCCTTCTATCAAAATGGGAAAAAACCAAAAGACACAACAATTAAGAAAGGGAATCCTGATCGATGCTACTACTCAAAGGAAACACAAGATTAGAACTCAAGAGACAAGACAATAATGAAATATGAAACACCAGAAAATACCTTGCTGCAACGTTCACATGACATGAAAGAAAACTCAACATCTCTCTATTGTACAAGGTTGCTTCTAACCTTATTAAATTACCTGAATCAATTGATTAGGATTAGGCCGTAAAGGACTAGGGAAGAGTGAAGATCGACGTAAGTCCGTAGCTGTGATTTTTGAACCATCACGAAATTGAGTCGGACCGGCGGATTGAGTGGGAGGTCCGACGACGAGACCGACTATGAACCGCATTTGAGGAAAGCCTGATGGTGAGTAGTAGGTGGCTAGAAAAGTAGATGCAGGGATCGACCAAGGTAAAGCGACCTTCTGGCGATTTCAATTTTAGGGTTCTTCGATTGAAATTGGAGATAGTGGAGAGTTAAAGCACTTTCCTTGTTTGGGGAGGCCAAGAGACCTTTAACTAGCAAAGTAATAGCGACAATGAAGATGAATCAGAAACTCATTTCAGGGAAGCATGCCAAGCGAAATCGACAACATCAAATGTTTACATGAAGAAGATGAACCGTCTCTCTTCATGAATCAGACTGGGAAATGAAGGGGGAATGCAGAAACCCAGAAATTAGAATAACAACGACAACCACAACACGAAACAAAACCCCAAATCCCAGATATGCTGGAGAGGAGATCTGTCGCAAAACCCCAAAACCCCAAAACCCCAATTAGAATAACAACTTGGGACGGCAACCGGATGTTGCGCGAGACCTGAATTTCATGTTCGCAATTTCTCCCAGACGACGAACAAAACTCGAGCCGAAGATGGAGGCAGAGGGAGGCTGCTATGTCGGCGACCTGGAGTGCGCTCGCTAATTGCAAGGAGAATGACTTCGACAATCTGTCGAACCGGCTACAGGAGATGACCGATGAGGGGCGGACTGGCGGAGAGAATTGAAGGAGCGAGATTGTTTTTGGTCGTAGGGTTTCAACTTTCAACTTCGTATTTGGTCTCCTGCAACCTCCAGAAATTGCAGCAAAGGGAAGGATATAAAAATGGACACGAAGTTGCATAGGAAGAAAAATAAAAGAAAACCCCAAAAAATTAAAGGGCGTGCCGCCAAGCACTTAACACTACAACAAATTCGGCCTATTATGACGAGACATTTTTGTCATATTAGATACCCATTTTGTCATATTAGGTGTAATATGACAAAATATGTTGTCATAAAGGTTTTTCATTTTATCGGCGCCAGGATAGGTCAAATGTGACAAAAAATTTAAACAATGTTGTCACATTTGCTTTCAGTATACCTGAGGTTTTGGGTAGTCTATTGTGTGAAACAGAGATATTATGACAACATATTTTGTCATTACAGTTGTCATAATCTGGTGATTTTAAGAGAATTGTTCATCATATTACACAATTATATTTTGTCATAATTGTATATTGTGACGACTACATTTTGTCACAAGTGTTTATTGTGACGACAATATTTTGTCATACCTTGTCAGGAAAGGTGCCTTATTTGTCTCATATCTAATATGACAAGAGCTATGTTTGTCAAGAAATGTATATAATGTGACAAATGGAGATGCCATGTCAACATATTTTGTCATAATTTTGTCCATATAAATGAGATTCAACTGAATGTCAACACTCATTACATAAGATAGTTCCCAAAAATTAAAATCTATATCGAAACTTTCCAAAAGCAACTATGACCTAGAAATAACATATCACTCCCAAATGGAAAACAACGACACAACCTTTCTAAAAAATACATGCTCTCATACTCTCGTTTGATGCTGATTTGGCTGGCTGAGCTATGGTAAAGAGGGATAACTCTGAGTTGGATGATGAACTCAGATCTTGTAACCAAACAAAGGACCAGTGAAAAAGAGAAAAGAGACTCACATGGGAGAGACATAGGCAAATTAATTGATGCTAAATTCAGATGATACAGGCCAGAACTCTAACTTGATGCCCAAGCACATAACACTTTATATCAAGAACCTTCTAAAAGAACTACTAAGAAGCAACTTTTTAGATGGACGTGGCTGATTAAACCATTTAGTGATAGAAAAGACATTCACAATTAATAGTTCAGAGGGACTTGCAAAATTATGCGGTAGAACTCAACCTTAAGTCAAAATAAGATGAGCGAAGAAAACTCCTCTTCCGGAGCAGCTTGGCCACTCCACCAATAGTAGTTGTTCCTCCGCTGCTCTCTGCTACTGTGCGCCCTTGTTGAGTTGCAGCTCCTAGAATTGAGCATATTGTCCCTCCAAATGAGTTCAGCCTCCATATGCTTTGTTTTGGCATCACCTACACAACAACCCACATATGAGTTATGTTGTGTTCTCTCTCGTCCCCCGTCCCTGTCATGGTCCATTTCATTTGGATGTTTGAGTTAAATTTAATGTTTGCGTCTCCTTTAAAATTAAAAGAAACATTCTGAATGCCAAGTACAAAATTAACTATTATGTGTTATAGGGCTACAATGAGATCACAGTTATAATCTATTATATGTTGATACCTGCAGAAAGAAAGTAGCAAGTAACAAGCTTTGCCAATAGAAGAAACATGTTCATATTAAACCCCTGCAAATATAAGAACTCAGTAGTGAGAGAGGAGAACCAACGCTTACCAAGATTTCAGAAGTTCTGTTTATTTTGCTTTTCTCTATTTATCAACAAAGCTATCTGTCAAGTTGTATGTTAAAATAAAGAGGCCTATACAAGCAACAAGACAACAAGAAAGCCCAACAATCATCTCAAACTAGCAGAAACAGCAAGAATGCAAGCTGAAAAGACCACATCCCTGAATTAGGGGAATCATATCAATATCATATATCTAAGACATTACAAGCAGATAGAGTAAAATGGGCAATTGCAGGAACCAGAATACCACTTACCAGAATACCACAAACAGAAAAATCGAATAAGAATATGAGAACAAAGGAGAATCAATTGGGAAATCCCTTGGTTACCTCGAGGCTAGTGCCTTCCCTGCAAAGGGTTTTGATGCCTTCCGCATTACCGTAACTCACTTGCTGGTACACCAATTCGTACTTGGACTGATTCTGCCCCATGTTTATGTTGGTTGATCAGTACAGAGCACTACCACCAACACTACTGAACCCAAAAACTCCCCAAACTTCCACACACATCATCAGAACTCCAACCGACCCGAGAGTGAACCTTGTGCTTTCTACCTGCATTTCAAAAAGATTATATGTAAGCATGCTTAGAGAAGGAAAAGGAGGAGCTATGCCAATTTGAAAGAAGAAAACGATGAATCCGACCTTGAATCCAATGAATCTCGCAGCCACAACTACAGTAGTGTTGAAATTGGAGTTCGAAAATGAGCGGAGAAATCAGAGTTCTCTTTTTTCCTACCCAAAAATTACGTTTTAGGGTTTAAAACAAAAAAACTAGTTGAGCAACAAAGTAGATAAGGACTGATGAAATAATTTGAGGGCAATCTTCTTAGCAGGGTCCTTGCTCACCGTCGATTGAGGAGATCCTGGGGGGCGATCGGAGATGGCACACCGTCGGTTGAGGAAGAAATGTGAGGGTTGAGATGCAGCAGGCGGAGGAAACTTGGAGGGCAGCGAAAGCTGTGGTCTGGTAGTTGAAGGAACCTCAGGAGGCGAGGCACAAACATGGTGAGCAGAGTGGAGAGAGTTGTTGAAGCTAGATTAGCAAGGGAGGACGATGATGGCGTATGTGGAGGGGTAGGAAAAGCGGTTGCTGCGGCAGCCTTCCAGTCAGCAGTCGACAGAGAGATAGATCTAGAGAGGAGGGAGGGGGATGGGAGGTGGCAGTTCTGAATAAAATTTGGATGTCTAGGTTTAGCTATTTGGGTTTTGCTTTTGCGGGAAGGAAAAATGAAATTTTGGGGAACTTCCGCCCGCCTTGTCATTTTTCATTTTTTCACTTTCCCTCCACAACCAATTTTCCTTTGAATAATGGATTTTCAATGTATTTCCATTAGAAATTTGCAAATACAACGGTATTTTCATTTTTGTTGTTACTAATCTGATGCCAACGACGGAAAGCACTTAAGTCGTTAATATTTGTTGTTAATAGGCAATTTTCTTGTAGTGATCATTGTTATCTATTGTGAAAAAATACTTTGTCATTTAAACAATTCAAGAAGACATAATATGATAAAAGCTATTCTAACGATATAATTTGTCACTTTTGTGTCTCTTACATCCCGATATGGGATGCCTATTTTGACAAACTTAATTGTGACACGAAATATTTGTCACATTACTCACTTCAAAATGACGAACTATTCTGACTACAAGAAATTTGTCACTGTTGAGTCTCTTACAACCCGATATGGGATGCCTATTTTGACAAAATTAATTATGACACGAAATATTTGTCACACTACTCACTTTAAATGACGACTTATCCTGACAATAATTTTTTTTTGTCACATTAGGCATACGAAAGGACATATATTATTTTTGTCATATTACCGTACCAATTGTGACAAACAAAAAATGACAAATTTTTTTTTTGTCCTAATAGGCCGAATTTGTTGTAGTGGATGTCACGGGCGTCTCGATGCACGATCAACGACTGGGGTCCAGGGGAAACATCTTGGTGGGGTCTTGGGGGGAAATGCCCCCAGTCAGCGGTGCATAGGGTCAATGTTGTTTGGGTTCGTGCTCTGGACCTGGTTGTAACCTGATAACGATGTAATTGCACATATTTGCGCCCCTAGTTCTTATCCGTTTGAGGGGCATAGTCATGTACTTTTGGCCTATTTTACGTCGGGTTGTGCTATTTTGTCATATTTCAGGTCCCAGGCGTCAAAGGAAAGGCTAAGCACGAGTTTCGGGGCATTCGAAAGTCATTTCGGTGAAGCTGAGCCAAAACATGGGCACACCTAAACCAGAACACGGTCGTGTTCTGAGATCGTGCTTTTACTGCCGAGAGCTAATTCGAGTTTGGCAAACATTGGCCAAAACACGGGCAGGGCTGAGATAGAACACGGGCGTGCTTCACCAAAGCACGGCCGTGTCCTCCCAAAAGCACGGCCGTGTTTCTCCTAGTGTAATTAACACTAGCCAAAGCACGGGTGGGCTGAGGCATTACACGGCCGTGCCCTCGACCGTGCTTTGGCCACTGATGCCCTTTTAAGCAGATTTTCAGCCAAAGAGAAGGGGCTTCGAGTTTTAGAGAGACACAGCGATTCCTAGAGAGAGAAAGTGACGAACAAGAGTCTCCAAGCGCCCTAGCTTGATCTTCAACACCATTGGAGGCCAGTTTGAGCTTGGAGAAGTGCCGATCAACGTCCAGGAGCAGGAATTCATCCTTCACAGTATGAATTCCGCGTCTGATTCTGCTTTTGCTTCTTTCTCCATGGAGTAGTTCTCCCATTCATCTGGGTATGGAGAACCCTAGATTTGTATGTTAGGTTTGACTGTATGAACCCAAGTACTGATTCTATGATTCGATTATATTCGATTGAGGTTTGAATGATTGAATGACTTGAATCCTGATTAAATTCCTGTTGTTTCTGCTTTGACCTAGAATGAGAATATCTGCCTAGGTTGATAGAGCATCCTTGATTGAAGGTAGGGAGTTGGTGACTTTAGTCGAGGAGCCAACTCACTATTCTGTACCGGATTTACTCCGGCAGTGGAGGTTTTGTTTGTTAAGACCTCAATCTGTTTACTCCGGTGGAGGTTAGTCGCCCGCTAGAGACTCAGATTGAGAGGGTCTGAAGACCATTAGTCGAGACTTCAGGCTGTTTAAGAACCTTCCGCAGTATAACTATCATAGAAACTGAACTTGGTAATTACAATCCGGCTTAACTGCAGTCTAGGGGGAACCATATCCGGGTGACCTCTCTTAACCTGAATACAACAGTTTACTTGCTTTGTTTGTTTGGTAGTTTAGACTTGCATTCCAGTTTCATTGCTAGATAACAAGAATTCACTGAGTAGTCATCAAATCTAGGACCCGGGTTGATAATTAAACCTAAACCCGCTATACTACGCTTTAGGAAGTGGTTTCACTTGGCCAATTCCTGGAGTGACAGTAGAAGTGAGTCAAGTTTTTGGCGCCGTTGTCGGGGACGGCTAGGTTGTTGAAGAAAAGTGATTTCTGTTAATTTAGCTTTTCTTTTTGCTTTGTTTGCTTTGTCCCACTTGTGCCTTCACGGGTTTGCTTGCTTGAGTGTGTGCAGGTAGTGCATGACCCGTAGCCACTCGGGAGGTTTACTGCTGTTGAATCCAGAAATTGAACGCACCTGTCGCCAACTCAGGAGACAACAGCGAGCTAGACTGGCTACGGAAGAGCACATAGACGGCCACCTGAGCAGCGATTCTGAAGAAGAGTACGGGATGGACGGAGAGTACAATCAACACCAGGGAATCCTCAGCAGGCTCCCCCGTTGAATCAGGTCCTGGGGAACAACCCCATACCCCAGGATCATGGGGTTCATCATCCACCGCAGCCGGGTCCCACCTTGGAGTACTACTACACTCCTCGGATTGCTGACATCCGCCAGGTCATCCTGTACCCGCCTATTCCAGCAAATAACTTCGAGATCAAGCCATGCTGGATTCAGCTCATTACATCCTCTATCCAGTTCCATGGCTTGAAGGATGAGGAGGCCAGGGTGCATCTTTCCCGTTTTCTGCAGCTGACGAACGGGTTCAAGCTGAATGGTGTCCTGGATGATGCAATCCGCCTTCATCTCTTCCCCCATTCTCTAGCGGGGAATGCTAAGAGGTGGTTGGAGACCCAGCCCCCATTGTCCATCACCTCTTGGGACGATCTGGCTGACAAATTCGTGCACAGGTACTATCCGGCATCGAAGACTACAGAGATACAGCGGGAGATCACTCACCTCCGCCAAGAGCCAGATGAGTCACTTCGTGATGCATGGGAGCGGTACATGGGATATTTCTGGCAGTGTCCCTATCATGGCTTTAGTGATGCATTCACAGTGGGGAACTTCTACTGTGCTCTCTCTCTCTCCAGATAGCCAGAGGGTGATTGAGTCTCTATGCCCAGGAGGGGATGTTCTCACTAAGACTCCACCCGAGCTGAACCAGATGATCAATACCTTGGCTGCCAGAGATCATTCCTGGGGACAGAGCAGCCGAGGCAGACATTCCCGGGACCGTGGTGTGCACGCCATGGAGACCAGATCCGGGCTCGAACAGCAGGTAGCTGAGCTAGTGCAGACATTGAAGAAGCCCAACAGTCTTATTCTGGGCAGAGGTTTGGCTACACCTCCAGTTGCTCAATGTCAGTGGTGTGAGAGCTCCAATCACCTAGTGGAGGACTACCAGGCTATGAGGGAGTCTACCACTCCCCAAGAGCAGTTGGACTTCATCGCCAATGCTTGGCGCCTTGACCCGTATAACAGCTCATATAATGAGGGGTGGCGCCAGCATCCCAACTTCGCCTGGAGCAGCAACACCACTAAACCACCTGGTTTCCCAGCACCAGCAGGTGGTTTTCAGCAGAGGCAGCCCTTCCAGGCTCGACAGGGGCCACCCCCACAGCAGCAGCCCTACCAGCCTAGGCAGGGGCAACCATTCCAGCAGCCCCAGCGCTAGTTTGCCGAGCCAGCAGCAGCTCCGGCCCCAGATGACCGGATGACAAAGCTGGAAAATATTCTAGCTTCATTCATGACTAGCACTCAGGCTGCTATCACGTCACTGGAGGCAGGTCAGCCGAACCAGGGTGCCATTTTGCAAGATCTGCAGACCCAGGTGGGCATCTTGGCCCGCCAAAACACTACCAGGGCACCGGGGACTCTTCCTGCCACCACTATCCCGAATCCTCGGGATCCTCACCAGCTCCAGCAGCTGGATGCCATTTTTACCAGGAGCGGTAAGACCATATCTGCTGATCCTGTCCCGGCCAGACAGGAGGAACCACTACCTGCTTCAGCACTTCCAGCCGACGATGCAGAAGTGCGGGTGGAGAAGGAAGCCCCTGCTCCCAAGCCACAACCAGTGGTTAAGGAGCATGTACCCCAGCTTTCCTTCCCCACTCGCCTACACAAAGACAAGCTGGAGACTGAGTTTGCCAATTTTATGGCAATGTTGAAGCAGCTCAACATCAACATGCCGTTCGTGGAGGCATTGTCAAAGATGCCCAAGTATGCCAAGTTCATGAAGGACCTCCTCACCAACAAGAAGAAACTTGGGGATCTTTCGACAGTGATGCTGAGCGAGGAGTGTTCTGCTATCCTGCAGAACAAGCTGCCCGAAAAGCGCAAGGATCCAGGGAGTTTTACTATCCCTCTTACTATTGGCAGCATGCATGTAGGCAAGTCCTTGGCGAACCTGGGCGCTAGCATAAATGTCATGCCATATAAGTTGTATAAAAAGCTAGACCTAGGTGAACTTAGCCCTACTAGGATGAGCATTCAGCTAGCTGATCGTTCCATTGTGCATCCTAGGGGGATCATAGAGGATCTGCTGGTTAATGTAGGTGCATTCACATATCCTGTTGATTTTGTTATTCTTGATATACATGAGGATGTGGATGTACCTTTGATTCTAGGTAGGCCATTTCTTGCCACCGCCAAGGCACTTATTGATGTACATGATGGTAAACTGATCTTGCGTGCTGGGAATGAACATGCTACTTTTTCTGTGACTGAATTTGATCACTGTGCTATGATTGCTGTCACCCCTGTGCATGCTATGTCTGATCAGGTACACGAGCCTGTCGTGTATCCTTCTGCACCTCTTATTTTGCAGGACCCTCCTATCATTCCTTCGCCGCCACTCCATCCAGCCTCGCCTCCGAACAAAAAGCTCAAGGAGGAGTGGCGGCCGAAGCAGCAGGTGGCTAAGCCTGCACGGAAGAAGAGTGGATACCACTATGAGCTGGTCCCACCTCCTGCACCACGACCACCCTGGCCGTCCGGGTACTCACTTGCCTACATCTTGCCAGATGGCCAGGTCGAGCTGACCGATGATGGTGGTCGCATCCGTCGGGTGCATGGCCACAACCTGAAGCTGTACCTCAAGAGCGACGTGGATCCGCTCTTGGAGGCACCTGTTCCTGCACCTCCCTGAGTATCCACCATGGGTGTCCAGCTAAAAGACGGTAAAGAAGCGCTTGTGGGGAGGCAACCCCACCACGGTTTGACATTCTTTCTTGTGTATTGAGTCGGATTGTAACCCGGTTTGGGTTTGGTTTGTTTTCTTTTGTTCTAGATGATGTATTATTGGGCTGACCATTGGACCTAACATATTGTGTTTGAGATCTTTGGTTTCCTTTAGCTGTGCTTGGCTTGCCTGATCCGTTTCCAGTCTCCTGCAGTCCGTGCATACCGGTAACATCGTTCCCCTTTCCCTTCCCTCTTCTCCATTGAGGGCAATGTCGATCTTAAGTGTGGGGGGATGTTTATCTTTTGACTGCATTAGATCTGTTTGTGTGCTTGGAGCCTAGTCCACTGTCCAAATTTTTAAATTTGAGGGCTCCAAGTACGTGTTCCTTGCAATTGCCTGCTCAGTATGCTTTGAATTGACAGTCTTTATAGTAATATGCAACCTAGGGAGGTAGTGTAGCACTATGGAGGATGTTGATGCATTTAAGAAGTCTCGTTTCGTCTTCATATTGTGTTGGTTGATTGAGTGAATTAGTGATCTTAGGACCCTTGAATTGTGTGGTGTTGTGGACTCTCTACCTGTCATGGACTCTTGTATCATGTTTTGAGTTTAACAGGTGCTTGAAAATGTGCTTCAAAATAACGTCTCCCGTGCGAATAGGGCGAAAGTATGTAAGGGGAGACGGGAATCCGTTCCCAATTTCCACCTACTACCTCCAGCCCCCTTACGTGTCTTTCCCCTGCACGAGGCTCGAGACATCCGCTCCTGGCATGGCCGGTAAGAGCCGGTTGGGACCCTTGAAAAAAGAAAAAAAAAGAAAAAATAACAGAAAACAAGCAAAACAGAAAGAAAAGGGGTTCCAACCATCTTCAAGAAGAAAATAGAGCACCTTGAAAAATGTGAGTCCATGATCCTTTGTTTTTGAGAATCTCTTCATCCACAATTCATTTGTCCTCTGTTCACTATTTGCCATGATGCCGACTCGATACTAGTGCTCTCGCCGAAGAAGCTATGAGATGACTTGTGCGTCGGTTGACCTCGTAAGTTGCTAAATGATCTAGGAAGTCCTCTACCTAAGATCTGGGTTGTTTGTTGCTATAGAGGTCTGGAGAGTTGCATTGGTTTGAGTTAGGTTTGCTTGAGGACAAGCAAACGGTTAAGTGTGGGGGAGTTTGATAACAATGTAATTGCACATATTTGCGCCCCTAGTTCTTATCCGTTTGAGGGGCATAGTCGTGTACTTTTGGCCTATTTTACGTCGGGTTGTGCTATTTTGTCATATTTCAGGTCCCAGGCGTCAAAGGAAAGGCTAAGCACGAGTTTCAGGGCATTCAGAAGTCATTTCGGTGAAGCTGAGCCAAAACACGGGCACACCTAAACCAGAACACAACCGTGTTCTGAGACCGTGCTTTTACTGCCGAGAGCTAATTCGAGTTTGGCAAACATTGGCCAAAACACGGGCAGGGCTGAGATAGAACACGGGCGTGCTTCACCAAAGCACGCCGTGTCCTCCCAAAAGCACGGCCGTGTTTCTTCTAGTGTAATTCACACTAGCCAAAGCACGGGCGGGCTGAGGCATTACACGGCCGTGCCCTCGACCGTGCTTTGGCCACTGATGC